AGATAGAAACAATTAGATCACTTAAAGGTAAGGTACCTAAATATAGAATTATGAGAGATTTCCATATTAATGAACATTGAGTAAATGATATATAAAGAGATTGAGAATACCAGCAACAAATAATACAAAGTACTATTTCTACTGATATATTATTTATATCACCTGAATATTCTAATCAGACCAAAAGTAAGATTTTATTGCAAAGCAAGCTATTAGAAAATTCTCCAAATCATGATTTTTTGAATCTATATCTGGAATCTATTACTTCACTCAATACAGAAATAAAAAGAAAAGTTCCAAATCTTGATCCAAATCCACTTACATATCCAATTAAATATCTAATAATTATACAATATTAGTTAATATTAATAATTTTACAAAAAAAATAAATAGTGAGGATATGGATGTATTATATGAAAAATGAGTTAAAGTAGATGAGAAAAATAAAGCAAATATGATTTGCCTATTAGCTATTACTAATCTATAATATTATTGCATAGCAATAAGACTTTATCCCTATCTCTAGTGGAGATATACTCAGATGTGGAAATATCTTTATTTCATAAAAGTAGGTTTTTATAATATATTTGCAATTTCTTAAAAAGATCATTTATTTTAGCCTTAGATTTGAGAGCAATATACAGCATTTTTTCTAGCTCCTCATAACTCATACATTTTTTTAGCACCTTTGGTACTTGCTCTGCTAATGATGAATTATCAGAATCTAGAGTTAGGGCTTCATTGCTTTGCAATAAGTTAAAACCAGCAGGAGCATATCACTTATTGAATGGTACATTATTATTCTCATCCCCATCTATATTCTAGAAAATTTGATCAGGTATTGAAGACTTATTGCAAAGCAATAGTACTATGTCCCTATCATCCTGAGTTGCAGTTATATAGTTCACTTTGAGTCTATTTTTGACTTTGTGCATATTTATTGGGATAAAGAACTCCTTACCATTTTATACAAGTTTTAATTCCCATCTCGATACAAGTAAATCATAATCATATTTGTCAAGTAACGTATTGAACAAAATCAATATCAGTTTGGAATATTTAATCACTATAAAATTGGCATATATAGTACATCCGGGAGCAAAATTTACTGAAACGTTTCTAACAATTCCAAGGAATTCTGTAGTAGTAGTAGCAATGTCTCTGAAATTATGTTTTTTCTTTGTATCAATTTCTAGCTTTAATTATTTAGAAATATCTTCAGACATAATTAGAAAATTGGCATCAGGATCAATGATACCTGCTGAAATTACTAATCTTTTGATTTTGTATTTAATAGTAACAACATCTGTGGCAAGTTTCTTCTTCTGAACAAAGTTTATTTTCATAGGGTCATCCAATGTCTCTTCTTCTCTATTTGATTCCAGAATTATTGGAGCTGGTTCTTAACGATTTGTATAATCTGAAGAGATAAGATATTTATTTTCAGATTTAAGTTTTTTCAACTGATGTGAAAGTAAAACCTTCTCAAGCATTTCCAATAAAATTTGTTAAATACTCTGCTCAAGAATAGTCAATTTATTTTGAAGCTTATCAGAAGTGGAAGTATCTTTTTGTTTCATTTTGCAGGATTTAAATTTCTTTTTAGATGTCAATTTATTTGATTTTCTTTTTCACTTTAATTGTTTTTTTTTTGTACTAGAAATATGTATATCATAACTACATTCAGATTCAACCTCAAATTCTTCAAAGCTTGAACCTGTCTCAGAATTAGATTCAGAATCAGAATTATCAGAGGTGTTAAAATCAGAATCTATAGCAATCTTATTGATGCTATTTTTCTTTTTAGATTTATTCTTGGACTTTTACTTTCTAAAACACTTGTGAGAATTATATCCAACTCTATTACAATTTGAGCAATAATGTTTGAATAATTTTTTAATGGCATTAATACCTGCCTCAATACCTTTTGCTATAGCCTGATTTATTGACAACTTATTCATGTGATCAGCTAGATCTTTATCCAAGTCTGGTTTAATTTTTTTTTTCGATTGTATAGGCTTTGCTGAAAATTTATTTATCCGTTTTTTATAAAGGTCATTAGCTAAAGATTCCATAATTTGACCAGTTGAAGAAATTGGATTCATGATATCAGCATAAATAAATCTTTCAGAATTTATGCCATATCTGTCTGGAGACCTTTCTGGCATATAGTTATCCAACACTCTAGGATAATTATCGCTATCAGATCATTTCTGCAGAAATTGTGCCAGTATCATAGATTTATTTTGTAATTGGCATGAACTGGTTTCTGGCTGAGAAATTATAGGTAATATATTAGTTAAAAGGCTAGTTTCTGATCTAATAGCTGAGACTTGATTAAAATTTAATTCTCCATACAGATTTGAAGTACGTTCTAACTACATATTTTTTAATGCGGTGAAAAATTCATTAATACCTGCTGGAGCATCAGATCTCATTCAAATGAAAAGCTCACTTGACAATTGACTTTTAAGAAATTTCAAGACTTGATATTATTATTGGATATGACTAACAAAAGAGGTTGAATTCTAGTTTCATAAGTATCTGGAATATCAAAAGATTGAAATCTTTCTTGAGTTAATCTTTGAATTGCAGATTGTTTGGTCCCGACTGTTTCTCGTTGATATCTTTTTCTTGCCCATGCTCTCAAAGTTGCTAAAGTGTTAATAAGGGGATTACCAATGATATATAGATCATTAGCTGATACTGAAGCATATTTTTCAGCTATCTTGGATTTTAAAATAGTATATTTGACTGTATCATCGAAATCTCTGACATTTGTATTTTCAAGAACTGTCATATGTCCCTTAGCAAATGTTCATTATTGTATAACCTTATCAAAATAATCATTGGGAGGTTCTTGACCAATATAAAGTAAGAAACTTGTGAGAGTGGATTGTATTAATTTTAATACTGATAAACGTTTAGCTTCTGTATTTGTCATAATTGGATTTGATAATAGATTATTCTGTAGATTTAAAATTTGTACTTGTAAATTTAAAATTAATTGCCTAGCAATATGTATTCTATTTTTCCATTTTTCATAGCTTGGAACAACATAATCATATCAAAATTGTAAGAAGACTTTATCATGATTACATTGTCACAACTTTTGCTTTAATTGATAAATAAATACTTTATAAATAATTTTAAAAATATGCCTAAGTTTAGATTGTTCTTCTAATGCCAAAGTAATATTATGTCACAAATGTCCTCACATTTCATTTTTTTGTTATAATTTTCTATCATGCCTTTGATATTGCTGATTTTTAAATGTAAATGCAACCTTCTCAAGTAATAAAGTATTAACCCATACCTGTATTCCTGTTTCCAAATTTTGAGCAATCCTCTGTAGTGACAGAATTTTATCTGTTCATTATTATAAGCCATAGTCATTAAAGCAAGATTATTCTGAAAATTATTCTATTCTTGGATAAACTGGTTAACATTATTTTGCAAAGTAATACTATTCTGGATAGGTTAATTAACTTTATTTTGCAAATCAATATTCTGTTGCCTATAACCATTAATGTCCTGCTGTAATTGGATAAACCGGTTATCTCTTTTATTATGTTGATTCGTAATATCATCCAAATTCTAGTCTTTTCTTTGATAATTAATCCAAATAGTGTTTAAAGACTCACAAATTCCTCCTATAATATTGATGAGATTGTTTAATGGTATATTACCTCCAAGATGATTTTCTAGCCAATCTAATTCTTACTTAATTTATATAAAAAGATCAAAATTTGCTATATGTATATATAAAAGATCCAGTGAATTCCCTTGATTGGAAGAATTTTTTCTAAAGGAAATGACTTTAATTCAATTTTTCAGATATTAAGTTCATTCCTTAGATTCTTATAACTGGCTATCTATATTACCAATATAGGATATCTTATCTTAAATTTCTTTTTTAATCTGGTATAAGTTTCTTTTAAGGGACAATACCTCCAATCTCAACTGTCTTCTTCCTCTAAAGTATTCTCAAGCAATTTCAGTTCTTTATTGAGGAATTGGAATTTTTTCTCACATCTGATATATTTATTCTTCAGCTTATTTATATATTTTTTATTCAATTTATTGATAGCTATCTTTGATTGCAATATCTCTTGAAGTTTTTGATTTATCTACTTCAGTTCTAATTCTTAATCAAATACTGGTTTATCAAATGTCATAGTTATTTTTACGGCATATTATAGCAAAATATATTAGTACAAAGTATAGACATAGTCAAAAATAAGTATTCCTACTATATATATAGATCTATATACTGAGGTGGCTATAGTTTGTCGTGCACTCTATTATAATATTCCTGGGTTTTATTTGAATGTGAAAGCTTTACAAAAGACATATAAAAAAGAAGGATATGACTATTTTTGACCCAAAGATATAACAAAGTGGTTAGAAAATCAATATGATTATTAAATATATTATTATCCACTAAAAATTAAAACTTGAGCCAGCTTTTCTAAATGTTGAATTCCCAACAAATTACATCAATGTGACTTGTTACCTCATGTTTATAATGATCAGGAAAAGAGAAAAGTATATTTATGCACCTTAGTGCTTATAGATATAACAACAAAATTTAAATGTGCAGTAGCATTAATATCAAAGAATAGTTTGGAAGTTTGGAATGCAATCGAAAAAATATACAATAATTTCAAAAATCCTCTCATATGGCTGGCATTGATGATGGTAGATGGTGCAAAAGAGTTTAAAGAAGCATCTTTCAAGGGATAGAATGTTATAATATTTCTATAAGAGGTGTAAACCTTTATGGTTTTGAAAGCTTAGCATTAATAAAAAAATTCAAACAGGATTTGACAAAATTTATATATAAAATTCAATATGCTATAGAAAGAAAACTCAAAGAAGGTAAATGCTCAAAATTATGGAAAAAGATACTTCAGAAAATTACCAACTATATAAATAATAATAAAACACGATTAATTGGTATAAGTCCTAACCATGCTATGACATTGTAGAAAATGATTTCTAAAGTAACTATCAAATCTAAAAGATCTATTGAAAAAGAAAACTGCAATTACAAAAAGGAAAGACTGTAAGATATTTATTAAAATCAGATAAGTTGGAAGGAGAACATGTTTATAAGAAAATTGATCCATACTTCTCATTGCATATTTATCAAATTAAAAAGGTTATTGTTAAAAGGAATTTATCACAACCAGTCTTATACTATCTCAAAGATGAGCCTATTGAATCTACTGCTCATTTTATGGAACGTAACCCATATCGACCATTCAAGCAAGAAAAACTCTAAGTAATTGAAAATTCTGAAGAAGTTGAATACCTACTTGACAATTTTATACAAAAATATCATTCTTTTGGATCTATACATTTTATTCGTATTACTAGTAGTGAATTTGACAGGGTCCAACAATATGTCAAGAAATGTAATAGAAGCATCTTAACTAAAACTGGATGAATTAATAATCAAAATATATATTTTTGGTTCTGTGAAAATAGAAAGCATCAGTAGGAATATCCATATCCATTAATAACTACAAAATTTAAATGGTGTCTCCTATACTGTCATTTTAAAGGAGAGCAATCTGCAAGATATAATTTTAAAGATCTACTAGGTAAGAAATTTCTATTTTGTAAATCATTATTTTTGAATAAGATGCAATTAAATAGATATAATGAAAAATTGAAATTAGCATATAAATTTAATGGAGTACAATATTTTTATATTATTTAAAACCACTTTCACCTCAATGGTAAGATTGATTATATAAATCAAAGGAAGTGCAATCAAAAAAAGTGAGATATATGCAAAGAGCAAGGTATAGATTTTATTGAAATTTCATACTCTTTGAATTTATATCCATTTATTAAAAATTCCCTTATTAAAAAAGATTATCTACAAAATATCAATATAAAAATAGAACCAAAGACTTATGATTCAAAGAATGGCTTAATGGCCTGCTCTGCAATAGAAAAACTTGATCCATATGAGAGAATAGTTTTAAACATTGATAAATACAAAAATCTAGAAAGATTTAACTCATTAAATAGTATATCTCAGTGTCCTTTTAATTTACTAGTCTCAGGATGAACCAGATCAGAAAAAATTAATGAAGTTATCAACCCTTTACTTGGAAACAAGATGTATCAATTGTTTAATGAGAATAAAGTGTAAAATAAGATATATCAAAAATGATGATTTGGTTTTGATAGGACATCAAATTAATGAACCCAAATATAAATATTTAAAAGACTGTTATAAAATTATTGCAAATAGTTCCAAACCATATAATAAAGATGTTACATTTCAAGTAATGAAACCTGATAAAATGCCAAAGGTTGATAACTTTTTTCCTGAGAGAGGGACAGTAGCTGTATTCGAAAATGTATGTATTGAACCTAAAAAAATCCAGAAAAAAATTGCATGTTATTTTACTAAAGGAAAGCATCATAATATTTCTAGCATATATATAACACAATGATTCTTTGACTGTCCCAAATTAATAAGAAATAATCTCGATTATATAGTTATCTTTAATGGTAGTGGTACATATGATGAGCTGGTTAACATTGTCTGACAATATACAAAAAATAGCATAATGTTGTCAATATACTTGATAAAAATTTACAAGGTAAGGAATTTATTGTTATCTATTTAACTAGAGCAAAAGAAGACACATTATATCTTCGCAAGGGATGGAACCAGCCTCTTAATCTTTCTAATAAGTAGTGTAATTTATGGTAATGAGATAATAATTATTTTTTTTTCTGTTATTTATTAATATAGCAATATAAGTACATTCTACTCACCATTTCTATTAAGAAGCTGTCCATATCCAGTCGCAATTGAAATTGGGGTGGATGGTTTCAATATCTTATTCTCTACTATTCTCAAATAAAATAGCTATTAGTATCTAGCCTGATTGAGGTCGAAGTAAATGTTGAAAAAATAAATAAATTCTATAGTTTATTTGTATCAAAGGAAGTTTTTGTGTCGGATAAAATAAATGTATATAGAAATCGAAGATGCATTTTTCCATGAATTGCCTATAATAATTTATTCAATTCTAATAAATAGCGGGTATTTATTATCTACCCAACTTTTAGGACTATAGCAATAAAACATTACAGGTAAATTTTGAGTATATGTTGATATATCTTTAGCTCGAATTAT